CGCCTCGACGCCTTCGTGAAACTCGCGCACTTCGAGAAGACGCTTCGGACGGCGTTGTGGACTTCTCTCACTGGTGATCAGTTCGTGAAATGGAATTGATGACATTTCAATGATGATGGTGGTGGATTTTCTAAGTTACTTCTGACCGGAGTGGAAGAAGTTTAGGGAAATTCAAACAGAGTTTTCCTAAGTGGCAGGGTATGTGATTTCATTCACCGATATACAGCAAGCTCAGGCTGAATTTTTGGAAGTCATGATACTTCTTTGTACGTGAAAATCCTAAAATTCTAATAATGGTTACGGCTGGGATCGTCTCTAACCTGCAAACGCCGTACATAAAAATGGATCAGGAATGAAAGAAAAATGTTGATTTTCTTCAAAATCAGTTTTTTATACAAAACATGCCAATTCATTCAATCATATTTTATAGAATTGTTAATTTATGGGACTTTAAACATATGATCAACCCCCAATTTATACCTGAATGAGTTTCTAAAACTAATTTCATTCGTTTTTTGGGAAAGAAAGTTTTTGGCTTTCTACTACTCCATCTTGATACAAAAAAGAAGGATGAGGGAATCTTCCAAAGAAAGGAAGGAAGTAACTCTATACATGGATGTGTAGATCATGCAAACACATCCATGTATAGAGTTACTTCCTTCCTTTCTTTGGAAGATTCCCTCATCCTTCTTTTATTTGTATCAAGATGGAGTAGTAGAAAGCCAAACACTTTCTTTCCCAAAAATTAATCACTCCTAAAAAATATAACCCCTTCAATTCTAATTTCGTTCCTTTTTTAAAAACTGAAAATTCAATTGTATTACAAATTCCGTTTAAAATCAACTCAAATTTCCTTGTGTTGCTTTAAGATATATTTGATTGAGGTCTGCTATCTCTTGATACCTTGAGGTATCTCACGGTGGCCTCCGCGAAGGTTTCAGAAGGTGTAGCGACATTACTGTCGTTGCGCGGCTTCTTCAACCCTCTTGGGGTTCCCTCCGTGGAGGTGCACAATTGAGGGAGATTTTCTACAGGGATAGCCGGTTCTTAGCTTTTATTCAAGGTGGAGCTCTTGGCGCCTGCCGCAGGAAGTGTCCTTGCTGTTGGAGGTGGAGTGGAAGAGGAGTAGGGTGCACTTATAGGTGCTGCCACTCCCGCCTCTTTCGCTCTCTTTCTCCTTTTGGCATCGGCGCCGCAAATGCGCTTACGCCTTGGCTTTCGTATTACATCACGAGGTAATCTGCTGTGTCCAGGCTCATTCCAAGCGGTAGATTGGGGTGGACATTTCAGTTCGTCTCCAGCCACTGTCTTAGATTGAGATGAGCACTTTTGTCCAACCTCGGGATTGGTTTTCGTTTTGTTGTTTTTGTTTTTGTATTGTTTCATTCATGTGTGTTCCCACGAGTAACAAGGGAAGAGTTGGTCACCTCTGACAGAGCCCCACTATGTAGGCTGCTTAGAATGAGGTTTCGCCCAGTTCCCCAAGGGGATCGTTCATGACAGCATATCACCCTGCGGTCATTCAGCTGTCGGCACGATTCCTTACACCTTAGCTTGCAAAGGCTTTTGAGAAGTTTTAGTTTCCCTCGCCCTACTTATTTCTGCCACTGACTAGGAGTCCGGCAACCCCGTCCGTAAGGCCACATTGGCTTCCCGGACAGGGCCTCCAGTCCCCTGACCATTTCCCTACCCACCACCTGGGGACGCGCCCGATAGGTAGCCCAACCCACGGGTGTTTCAGAAGTATACATCCTAGTTTATACAAATAGCCAATTTGAACACCAAACTTCATACTAACCGGACATAAAAATACAAGAATCGAGTCACAATAAATTCTCCATAAATTTTTGTCCATCAATCCATAAATCCTTGCCCATTAATTCTACTATAGAAAATAACCAATCTGTGAAGAACCAATTTCATTCCAATCGGACGTAGCTTTTTATATAAATACGTGAACCGCCTCCCAATGAATATTCCATAAGTCCTACTATACAAAAATAGCCAATCTGTGATTAACAAATTTCACTGTCCATAAATCCTTGTTCGTGAATCCATGAATCCTTATCCATACCCTACTTATTTATAAAAATGGTCAATCTGTGAAGAAAAAAGTTCATATTAACCGAACGGAGCTTTTTGTATAAACACGTAAATCGTCTCACAATAAATTGTCCATAAATCCTTGTTCATGAATCCATGAATCCTTATCCATACCATACTTTTGTATAAAAATAGTCAAATTGTGAAGGACAAAGATCATACTAACCGAACGGAGCTTTTTATATAAATACGTAAATCGCCTCACAATAAATTTTCCATAAATCCTGGTCCATAAATCGTACTATATATGTGAAAATTGCTAATCTGTGAAGAACAAATTTCAAACAAATCGGATGAGCTTCTTATAAAAGTACATGAATCGCTCCACAATAAATCTATATCCATACCAATATTATGAATGTGAAATTTTGTGGCTACATATAGGCTACAATTTTGGTCATAATATAACGATAAGTATTAGGGAAGTCGGAAAATTCTTCCTCCCTAAGAGCTACCTTGGCGTGCGCTGCCTATACCGTTGGAGTTACTTGCAAACAATGTACCATAAGATTGTTTATCTCAAATTGTTTTAAATAAAAGTCCGCGATAGTATATATCTACCTCTTATGTGGTAGCCATTATATGCGAAATACTGAGCCATAAATACAATTAAATTGGAAACTTTTTTACAATGCTCATTTCAGAGTATCTTTCAAATACTTATAAAAATTGATACAATTGTCGTTTCAACTATTTGACATAGATTAACTTTGTCTTTCACACTAAGTAATTTGGACGAATCGTTTGAAAGTTATCACGATAAGGGTAGTGGGGCGGTCTAAGCAATGAAGCGCCATCGCCGAGAACGCGACCCGAACACGGGCAGACGTGTGAAGGCAGAAGTCGTTGACGGTCGTGTTATTTTTGCGAATTTCTTCATTTGTAACATAATTCGACTCTTGAAGCTATTCATTACTTAGTGCAGTTGGCATTTTTTTCAGTTACTGTATTTTTTAAGTAAAAATATAAGTTACCAGCTGTTGCCCGCTCTCATATTAACGTACAGCCCTATGCTACTGAACCTATAAACTTGAAATATGCAGGCAGGTGCTTTGTATAGCGTAAATAAGCATCAATGAAGGGAATCAGGAATATTTCCACCCCCAAAAGGGGAATAGAGGTTCATAGATTGTATTTAATTTCGTCAGTTTTGAAGTTGGAAACCTGAAGTTTTCGGTTGATAAAAAAAAATTGTAACTATTTATTCAAAATGGTCTGTCACAAACCAAATTCTACGCATGCGAAGCCGCGGGCAACAAGTAGTGGTCCATAAATGAGGGATGCATCAACGACCCCGTTTACACGAGCATATAACATCCATTGTTATAACAATCGGAGATCTAAAATCCAGCGTGGGCCTATTCGAAGCGTAATTCTCGAGTCGACATATAAACTATTGTCAAATTCAATTATATGCGATTATAAACATACTCGTTTGTCCTAAAATGTCAAATCACGTCATTTTGACATCACTCTCTAGTGATAAAAGATCTCTATTGGTAAGTATTTACTCAGTTCAAACCCCACTACCTTCATAAACCATGTCCCTGATATATTTTCATTGTAAATAAACGAATATGATTTACAATTCGTAATTTAAGCAGATGAAGTGACATTCATTTGAGGTTATTTTCCTACATGATGACAGAACGTTTTTTCTGTTACCATGCTATTTCGATGTTCGTAGTAAAGCCATATATTCAGAAGAAAAAGAAAATGCAGTTTTATTTTTTATGAAACCATGCAGATATTTGTATATTTTGAATTGAAAGGGGTATATTTTTTACAGAGAATAATTTTTATGATAGAAAGGTTTGGGCTTTTCGCATCCTTACACAAAAAAATTAAGGAACTTCCAAAGGAAGGAAATAAGCAATTCATTTCGAAATAAACTCTTGACTACTAATTGATTCAACATGTATATTGTCTCTCTACTTGGAATCGTCTCAACAAGCACTGAATGCCGTTCTACTATTATTGAATATAATATGGTATAAACTTAGAATGCATAAAAAACTTGAAAAAGAAAATATACGTGAACAAAATTATTGAAATATGGATATAAAGTAGACTACATCATCCCCTGAAGATGCCAACTTGGTTAATGAAACACGCCTCCAAAAAAGTGTTGCAGTTCTGGTGTTTGGAAACAGTACTTGTTTCGAAAACTGTCTACTCCATCTTCTGAAGACGCCCAATTGGTGAAACTTGCATCGAGAAGAGTGTAACATTTCTGGTATTTGAGAACTAGATTTCGATAATTTTTTTGGGATAACTTCAAATTCCACTAAAGTTCAGAATGTGTATACAGTGTGTGAAAACAATAACAAAAGTAACAGCACCTCGCCTTCAGAGGATAAGATTCCATGTAAAAAAGTGTAAATGGACCTGTCTCATCAATAGAATTGAATCATGTATGATAATAGTATACAATACATATATTTTTCTTTTTCAAGTTTCCTGTGCATTCTGAGTTTATACCATAATTATCATCAATAATGAAGAACTGCACAAAATGTCCATTCTAATTTCATGTTAATGATATGTTTTTCCAGAAAAATCATTCAGATAAAATTATAAATTTTTACTGTCAATCTATCACTTGTAAATACATATTGTAAAAATAATAATAGTATTCCGTACTCCAGTGAACCGTATATTGAATATTGATTTCTTCTGCTTTAGTACTAGTGTTGTTGAGTAACGCGTGCTGAAAGTTGTGTTTCGTCGGAACCACAACTATATTAAAATTGAACAGAACTCTTTGTGTGGTGTTGGTGCGACACGAGGGCACTACAAGGTTCACCTATGGAACACGCTATTATCACTTTCTACCAGTAACTTTGTATTCCGTCACACGCTTCTGACAAATATATTCTGTGGTCTGGTTTTTTTTCATCTTTGAAGTTGTCAGTTGTCAGTTTTATTATTTAAATATTGTGGATGGTGAATCCCAAATCGATTCATTTTTACGATATTTTTCTTTGGAGAACTAATTCAATCTCTTGATTATGAGTTTCTTGAAATAACTCAAAACAAAATGGAACTGGAACCAAAAGTGATCCGTATTGTTAACTTGCAGAGTATCGAAACTAATGAGTCTCTGAATAATTTTTTGAATGATCAATTGCAATTACAAGGAAAAGTCGAAAAAATTTATATCGGTCGTGATACAAAACTAAGTTTGGTATTTGCCTATGTCATATTCGAATTCAGCTGTGATGCCACAAGAGCTGTGAAAGAATTATTTGACTTCGTCTACAAATCATTGAAAATTGATGTTGCTATTATATCACCAAATGTCAAAATCAAACTATACACATCTTCAGGAAAGACATCTTCCACAGAAAAAACAGTTACACAAAAATCTCAGGTAAATTTTGATGTGATTAATAGTACTTTTTGAGTATATAGACATTCATACATATTATTTTTCTAATTTGTTGAAATTATTTTATAAACACTTTGTGATAATTGAAAAAAATATTTTCTCTTAAAACTACAATGCTCATTAGTTGCAGTGCGAATTTTAATCTCAACATTATTACATTTTTGTTACAACAAATATTATAATGTAAGTACCCTTTAGTAGAATGAAACAACAAATTCAAAAAATTAAGAGAATTGTCGACTTTTTTTATTTTTGTTCAACCCCACTCAAACAGGACTATTTTTATTTGCATTACACCTATAAGATACGGATTTTCAATACATAACTGTTTTTATACCAAATTGGCACATTTGCAAAAATATTCTTTTATCTTTTAGAGCTTCTTGTTATTCTACGCAATAACTTTAATCTTATTTTTAGACTACAAGAAGGCTTATAGGCTCAGAGAACAGTTCTAATGTGAGCAAAGAGCAAAAGCAAAAAGTTCTTGATGCATTCAGTCATTCTAAGGCAAAGAAGAATAAAAAAATTGCTACTTCCTCCTCGATGAATACTCATTCAAAACAATCTCCAGGTGCATTAGAAATTGCGAATACTCCAAGTAAACCCCAGAAAAACAATAAAACTAATGACCTTAAAGACAAAGGAGCTATGAGCAAAAATTCTTCCAGAAAGTCAACTTCAGGTTCAACTCCACGAATAAATTCCAAAACAAATGGTTTAGGTGTGTGGCTGGATTCAAGAAGGGGCAGATCAGATTCGTACCATGATCATGACAACAAAACTAAAACCACTGAAGTGAGCAGAACGTCTTGTAAGCATCCGATCAAATCAGAAAATAAAAATGATATAAAAGAATCTAGGTTAGCTTTGTCGACCGCTCTCAATAAAGATGCACATCTGTTGCAAAGTTCGAAAAAGGTACTTACAGATTCAAATAAGGCGAAACCCCAACTCAAAATGCCAAAAGAAAAATTGTGTGCTTCTGAAAAATTAAAGGGTGATAAATTGAAATCTAGTCGTTCATTGAAATATGCCAAAAAGAAATCTAGTCCTTCATCAGTAAAAAAAAAATCCACTAATACAGGAGCCGTAAGCCTAATATCATATTCTACTCTGAACACTGTGATAAATGATTGTGTGGTATCAGAGAGTACATTAAAAGGGAACCTCGAATCAAAAAAACAACAAGAAGCAAGTGGAATATTACTGAGCTTCTGAATATTCAATCAAAAGGATCAATAACAAAAACGACATTTAAGATGAGTGCTAGTTGTTTTGAAAATTTAATATTCTAAGGAACAAATTCTTTCACTTCAGCTTTGATTACCAATATTAATGAAAGATAAGTTTTACAGAGGGAAGGCAAACAAACAAGGAGGAAGGATCTAAGATCTTAATGAATCTATGTTTATGAAATCAAGATATTATTTATAGAAGTTGTATGTTTAGTTCCGTTTGAATTAGCTTTTTTCATGATGTTTTTATTCGAATTGGAAAATATAATTTTATCTGAATTTCTCGCTCTATTTAGTTATTATATGAGTTTTGCATGTGATTTTTATAAAGAATGGAAGTTAAGAGTGAAATAGTGTAATGCTGCTTGTAACCGTTTTCTGGGTGTATAACCTTGAACAACCTTAAAAATGAACGAAGTTATATCAATAGAGAATCTGCTGAAGTGTAGATGTTTGACATTTCGGAAAATGATCTTTTTCTGTTTTCAAACCCCAAAAAAATTCCATGAATTTCATGTAATGATATGCCAAATATATTCAAAAGTCGTCACTATCTCAATGCTCAGATTCCTTCGAAATATTCTTAACTGGCTCAAATTTTGTTTAATATTTTTTCATACTTGTATATGGGTTTAGTCTGATCATATAGAGTGAATAATAATAATAATAATTTTTATCAGTCTCAAGAAACACAGTTTTTAGACACGTCAATACAATTTCTAAAATAGGTTTGAGAGGGTAAGATTTGTCAATATAGTTTTCAAAAAATGCTTGTAGATAAATTAGATTTCCAAAAAAAAAATACAAGTTAACAAGATAAAATTCCAATCTTATAAGACTTGACTAAAATGTAAATCCATGAGCTTTTACAAATTATAAATCACATAGCTAACGTATTATATATATTCAAAGTTCAGGAGGTGACCACAAAAGTGTCTCTTCTTGGATAACTTCGAAAAATTGATCAATTTCATAAAAAGGATGTTTGGTTAATATTTTCTTCAATAAGTTTTTGAATCTTCTAAATGGCAAATTACGAAATTCGGCAGATGAGGCATTGTATAGCTTAATTTCTATATTATCTGTTCTTTTCAACCTATTAGCTGTAAGAACAAGGTTTGATTTATTTCTTGTATCATGTTGGTGTATATCCTTGTGAGCAACTTCATTCAACAAGTGTTGTTGAACAAGAAGCAGATTTTCATAGACAATAACTGAATATAGGGTCATAATTTTAAGTTTTACAAATATTGGTCGACACTTTTCATCATAATTGGCACAGATTATGCTTCTTACTGCAAATTTTTGAATGACAAATAATATTCTATTAAGATTGCATAATTCCAATTGATTATACCATACCTAAGGACTGAATGAAAAAGATAATGATATGTTGCAAGTGCCGCACTTTGATTTACTATTTTTTTTAATTCTTCTGATAGCAAAAACCGTCTTACTAAGTTTACTACACGTGTTATTTATGTGGTCTATCCATTTCAGGTTGGAATCTATTTGTACTCCCAAAAATTTGGTAGAATTTTTGTTATCTCGATTTAAACAAATTGTTTCAAAAGTTAGAGTTTCTGTTTTTTGTTCATTGAGAATCAAGTCATTTGATGTGAACCATGATCGAGCTTTCTCTAATATGTCAGTATGGATCATATGAGGATCATCTATTTTATATATTTTTTTGCCCAAGGTTGCATCATCTGCATACAATATAGTTTCTATGCCTGACGAGTTCATCACGTGAGGTAAGTCGTTGATATATATTAGAAACAGAAATGGCTCCAATATTGACCCTTGTGGCACTCCTCCTAATATTTTTTTTTTTTCACTTTTGGTATTTCCTAGATCAACAATTTGATATCTTTCGTTAAGGTATGACTTCATCATCACCAGGCAGACACCTCTCACTCCGTAGAAATCTAATTTGGCCAATAAAATCGAGTGATTTACCGAATCGAATGCTGAAGTAAGATCTGTAAAAACGCTCACATATTTTTCTTGGTTATCAAAGGCGTCTTTTATACTATTTGTGAGAAAGTTTATTGCATCAGACGTCGATTTTCCTTTCCGAAATCCAAATTGATGAAGACTCTGAAGATTATTTATATCAAAGTATTTTACTAGTTGTTCGTAAATTATGTGTTTGAAAAGGTTGGCAATATTGCTATATGTCGAAAAGTTTTTGGTTCGGATGTAACACCTTTTTTATGAATTGGCAGGATTCTACCAATTTGTAATTGCTGAGGGAAGTAGGCTTCACTTAGACAGGTATTGATAATATCTGTTAAGGGTTGAGTTATACATTCAATGGCACTTTTTATGACTAAAACATTCACACCGTTTATATCTTCCGTTTTTTTATTTTTTTACTTAGTTATGATTATTCTCACCTCATCTGTCGTTACAGGCCTAAAGACTTATCGTGGAATAAACGTTATAAGTGTTTTGCTTGTTCAGCGACTTTATGCTATCAAACAAATTAAAACAGAAAAATGTTCACAAGTGGTACACGCAATTCAGACATTGTAGCACAACATAAGAATATGTTGGTGGCAAATAGATATCTTGAAAATTTCCAAAGTTATTTGCAAAAACACGCTCCGAAAATAATATTCTTTTTTGTGCGCCATATTTGGGGAGAGCAGATCGATTTCCGTTTTGAAAGTGGAAATTTTTTTTAGGATACGTCCGGGAGATCAATTTGAACGGCTCTCTCGCATATGTCGCACTTCAGGTGTGAATTTGGCGAAATAAAATATATTTGAAATTCCCGCCATTTTTAATTGTTTATATCTGGAAAAAGTTTTATTTTCTACTAATTTTAAATACCATAAAATGACAATTTTGGAAAGTTTTATAAACAAAAGGATCAAAACAGCATTAAAAAAGTTTTTTGTCGTTATATTCGAAATGTTCCCCATGTTATAATAATGTTACCAGCGTTCAAAATTGAAACTATTCCAACAGGTTAATTGTAATGGTCCTGCTTTTAATTATGGTGAAAATCGGCACCTTTCTGGATAAGTCGCCGATATTATCCCTGATCCTCTCATGTTGAGTGGATCAATCGGACTTCGTAATGACCTTGAAGAAATTCATAATGAGTTCATTCTTGTTTGCAGTTAAGCCAATCTAAGATTTTTAACTTCTGATATGAATCAATAAATCTCTCCCCTGTTGTCAGGGGAAGTACAACCGTGGAAAGGACGATTTGGGATGCACATCGAGTTGACGCAGCTTTTCTTGAGTCCATCTCACTACTAAAAACAAGAAGAATAAGTTTGGAACGGCAAGCATATTCGTAGCAGCAGCTTTGTTCTTCCCCGGCAGTTCCGATGGTTAATATTTCAGTTTTTTGTAGTGAAACACTTCAAGAATCGGCAACATTGATCACGTTATCTATATGTATGCAACGCTGCAACTGTGTAATGCCACATCATTCGAATGAGTCATGGGAATCCCAATCCCAGTATAAAGTTATATTATATTTTCACATTAAAGATACCAATAATTTCCATTTCATAGTTATCGATATATTTATACCAATTCATTTGCATAATTTTGAAGACATATCCCCTTAAAAAAATTATAACTAATAAAGTATATGAAGTGGTGTTTGAACAGTTCAGTATAGTGAACAATGGATAACTCTGAATCGAAAGTAATCCGTATTGTCAACTTAGATAAAGACACCACAAATGGTGAACTGAAAGAACTGTTAAGGGAACGAGTGAATCTACGAGGTAAAATTGAGAGAACTCATATTCGAACTAATTCAAGGCTTAATTTGGTTTTCGCTTACATTATATTCGAACTCCAATGTGATGCCAAACAATCAGCAGAAATATTGAATGGTGCCTATTACAAAGAGCGTCAACTAGATGTGGCTGAGGTCACTCCGTATGGCACTTACAAGAAATACTTGCAGAGTCCCAGAGGAAACTTACCAAAATTTCTTCTGGAAAGAGGATTTGGCGAGTCCCGGAGGGAACTTGATGCCAAGATTTCTGAAACTTCTACAAAAGTAGGTATTTCTACAATTCTTGATGATTTTAATATACCAGGTTACCATGAGAATCATTACACCAATTTGAGCGATTACTCACTACTTGAACATAGATAATTTTGAATAACTACTGCAGAAATCCTCAACAAAAGTTTTTATGATATTTATTCACCTTCAAAAATTTTTACAGAAAACAGTGTGTTACAATAGTTAAACAACAGTTTTTTGTTTAGGTACATCACAATATTATAAGGAGTATTCTCAAACTAAAAAAATATTTAATAATAAAAAAAGTATGTTAGTGTATCAAAAATTAGATATTTACATATATAAAACTAGTCACACATACATATATGAACAGTTTAAGTTTAGAGGCACACATATGGAAAACACAGAAACATCAATCCCAAAATCTGTAGTCCACACTCTTGACAAGCAAAAATATAAGTATTTGGACCCATGAGTGAAGAAAAATTTCATTTATATCATATAGTGGATTCAGTAGCAATGATTATTTTAGTTGGTATTTTAATTTTTTAGTTGTGTAGTACTTCCATTCCACTGGTATTTGGTTGTACAGATTCATTGGCAAATATTCAGTTTTTTTTTTGTTATTTACTTTTGGCATCCTATATTGATTTTTATTTCGTGTATCATGTCCATGAAAATCTGTTCCCGAAATATATTCATCTTTATTTTGATGTATCCATAGAATTGCCTCCCTTACATATATACAAGGTAATGTCAAGATTTTTATTTCAATAAAAATTGGCTTGGCTTGTGTTCTGTTGCCCAAATTGGCCATAGTTCTTATAATTTTCTTTTGGCTCACCAATAGTTGAACAAGCCCGGCTTGGCTTGTTCCCCACAATAGCACCCCATATACAAGATGGCAATGTACCATGCCATAGTAAACGGTTCAATTTATTTATTGAATTAGGATTCCCTAATATACAGGTTAGCTGACTTAAAATATAATATAATCAACAAAATTTATATAAATAATACAACTTTATATACATACATAATTTGAACTGAACAAAAAGGAATTTTTCAATTTCCATCGTGAATATATTTTAACAGTTCGCTCTTGAAAATCTTCTTCCATGATAGAGTAGATTTAATTGAATCAGGTAAATCATTGAATCGGACAAAACCTTTGAAAAATAAACTGCTCATACTATTTCTTGTAGATATTTGTTCTGTTTATATGAATGTGACTGTTGTACCTAGTAGAATGGTGATGAATGTCCTTATTGAAAGTTATTAATGATGGCAAGTATGGTGGGGTCATTTTATTTAATATTTTATAAATGAAAACCATGGAACAATAGAATAATCTTTTGGATACTGAGAGCCATTGTAGAGCAGATAGCGTGGTAGAAATTGGTGTATACCTATTAAATTTTAAAATTATTCTCATTCCTCGATTTTGTATTTGTTGCACTTTGTTCAAATTAAAAGAGAATAAAATAGATGCACAGTAGTCAAAATGGGGTTGGATTATAGATGTACATACCATAATTTTTGTGTCTGTTGATAAGTTAGTGGAGATTGTTGAGAAAAAATATATTTTTTGCAATCTTTTTTTCAATATATTTGAAGTGGTCGTTGAATGATAAGCAATTATCAAGTTGAAATCCCAAATACTTCACTGATGTTACTATTTCTATATGTTCACCTTCAATTTTTATATTTATGTTGTTTGTATTCATATGATTATATTGGAATTTAGTAGTGATTATCAGTGTTTTTGTTGTTTTAACGTTAAGTTTCATTTCATTGGTTTTCAGATATTTTTCTACTTTCTCTAGAACTTTATTCATTCTGCCAACAGTTTCTTCTAAATTTACTCCAGTACAGGCCAATAAGGTATCATCTGCAAATAAGTTAATGAACTGTAAATAATTGTATATCAATACTTTGCTAGATAGTACTTTCCCGATTTCTCAAAACAAATAGAGCCTTGGATAGCTTTTTTTGAGTTTCATTTATATATACTTTCCAATTCAGTTGAGCATCAACATGAAAACCCAGTAGCTCAACTGTTGTTTCATTGTTGAGCGCTTACCGATTTTTTGTGAAAGTGATGTTTTTTGTTTTATTTTTGTTTAGCGTCATAACGTTTGAATTTGAAAAGATTTCCATTTTTAATAATGTTTTTTCTGACTTACATTCTATCACGCTTGAGTTTTTATCCTGTAACAAAAGAGTAGAGTAATCTCCATACATAAAAACATTAGCAGCATCAATTAATGTTGGTAAGTCGTTTATGTAAATGATGAACGATAGGGGACTTAGCACTGAGCCACCGTGCTAGGTTTGAGCTTGTCAGAAATTGCTGATTATTAATAAGCAACATGAACATTGGTATTTTATTCAAATTCTAAATCACTTGAATAATCCGTTTTTGTTTCATCTAGGCAATAATATTGATAAACACTAAATTCACTGTTCGTTATCTGATTTGAATTTGCTGAAAAATTATTGCCTAATTCAGTTTGTTTAAGAACTGAAAATTTTACTGTCATTCCTCAACTCATATTCACTAGTTACCTTAACAATTTTTTTTTCATGAGAATTTGGTAGCAGATCCAAGATCATCCCGCCAATTGAGAAGCAACTTATTTGTAAATATACCTGAAAATCAATTTAAGCTTGGAAGTAGGCATCGAATGCACTTCGTGAACAATTCAGCCATTGGTGAAGGGGTATGGAAGGGGTATGGCCTGCATAACGGAAGAGGCAAAAATTAATGAACAAAATGAAGCGAATTTATTTGGAGTTTTGATCTGGAATCAGTATTATTTTACTTTTATATTTATTATTTCTACCTGTGAATATTTCATGAAGATTTAAGTAAAAAGTATCCATGTTAATTGTAAGTTGACCATATCTGAATATATTAATAACATAAATATTATTCTCAGTATTTACAGGTTTTCATTTCAGATTATTAAATTTGTACTACTGTGTTGATGAATAAAATTCAGATTGGGATCTATCCAATTAGTCCGTAATACTTTAGTCAATATACACAGTCTTTTAAAAAATAAGGTGCATTTTCATTTTTCTCAAAAAATATTTATTCAATTTCTAATTTGTCCCCTACACAGTAATTCCTCTCAGATATTAAACACTTATGCAAGCGCAAAACGCCGTCCTTTCATAGGTCTCTTCAATTTTGGGAACAGGAAAAAGTCCCTGAGTGCCAAATCTGGTGAATACAGTGGCTGAGACGTGATTACGGTGTTGGCTAAAAAATTATGAACAAGCAACGCGTAAGCAGGTGCATTATCGTTATGGAAATGCCATAGTTTGTTTTTCCACAATACCGGACGTTTTCTTCATATTGCTCCTCGCAAGCCCTGCATAACTTCGAGATAATACTCCTTATTGACTGTACTACCATGTAGCAAGAACTCCTGATGCCACGGTAATCGAATAAAAAAGTGACCAAAACTTGGACTTTTGAATGAACTTGGCGTGCTTTTTATGGTCTTGGCTCTCCCAGGTTCTTCGATTAGGACGATTAGATTTTAGTTTCGATGTCATAACCATATACCGATGATTCGTCATCAGTTATGACCCTTTTAAGCAAATCTGGATCGCCACTGACGTCATTCAACAATTTCTCCGCTACCACACGCTTCATGCCCAAATTTTCTAATAGCGGTTTGACGATTATCCAAAATAATTGTCTAAAACATCAATATAAAACATTTTTTGGAAACTTCACTCCTTCACCTCAAACTCCAACAAAAAAATCCTGGGAGGTAACATCCCTTACAGAAGAAAGTCAACAGTTAGCAAATTTCAAATTCATAGCTAGAGGAATGATGAACAAATTGAGTATTTATTTAATAAATGTACCCCAATAATAAACATGTTTGAATATATTTCATAACAGTATATAAAAAAATCCAAATATAACTGTAACTATACTTTCACAAAGGTTCCTGATCCGAAACTCTCAACGTAGTGTTTTCGACACTCCATATTATCACAAGGTCGATTGTGAGCCGTCCAAACTGGTTCACCTATGAAGAATCGTCTGGCTATTATGGTATTCTGTAAAAGAAATTGGATAATTTTTTAGTTTTTCAGTGGTTCAGCTAAAGATAGGAAGACATTGTGAAGATATCTTTTGTAAGCAAACCTCATTATTGATTACCGGAGTTGCGCCAAATTATGGAAGTTATTTGTTTGGAGATTGTTAAAATGAATATGAAACTGATGAAAACTCGGAAAAGACTGCTCTGATTTCCAAAAATAAAACTTTTGGACAAAGAATTGAAATACTTATCAAACGAGGTATCACAAGACCCCCATTCGTTAAAAAAAAAGTTGGGAGCGCCCTCTTGACAAAGTAATGCAAAACTGTTGTCTTTCTTCATAAAAAGTTACCAAAAATTATTCCTTTTTACTTTATTTTTGTCTGATATTGATATCTTGTCCCGTTCAAAAAATAATGCTGAGGGATGTTTATGACCGGACTGTATATATTGTGCCTGTATATGCCTGCCTAGAAATGAGTCTCAGTATGGTCAAGGATGTTATAAGGTAGCGTTTTTTTTTACCTGAAGGACGTGCCTTTGAACATACGAGGGCTGCAAGTTTCACCCTATAGAAATTTCTGGAATGTTTGGAAAGAATGTATACAGAAATTTGACAGGAGACCTATAATAGAGTATTCTAATTACTTTCATAATATTGAATTCAGGCAAAAAATTCAACTGGAACAAAAAATCAATAACTCAACTGTAATAAGAAAAAACGCAATGTCACTAATGAATAATAAATTATATTTGTGAAAACTATATCAGTCAGGGGTCAGAAGTTGAGAAATTTGAAGATAAGCCTCAGATATAAGTGGTAACAAAAACAAAAATAAGTTGAATGACTAATAATAATTTCCTTTAGTTCAACATTGAAAATGTAAATTTGAGAATAATCGAGACACTACCTTTATAGTTTTTAGAAAACTGATAATGTAGACAAAGTTTTGTTATTCACAGAATTACATAACATGAAGTAAAAACAGTATCGTAAAAAAGAAAGACACTTGCATAGGTGTTGAAAAATACAATTATGAATTTAGAGTGTCTTCCATAAGAAATACTCAATATGTGTGTACTAACCTTCTCATCCAAAGTGAATCTGTGATAAATGCCACTTGGTAAAATCAACAAATCTCCTGGTACAACTTCAATCCTGATCCACTCGTCATTCTTATCCCTCACGTCGAAATACCCGGAACCTTTAACCACTAGTCGTATCTCTTCATCAGTATGTAAATGTTCAGTATAAAAAATTTTCAGTTTCTCCTCATAATTTTGGAGGCACCCTTCAGAAATCACTATTTCATCTTCATATGTGTAACCTCTTTCTTTTTTTAGCTTCTCTAAAATCCCATCGGTTTCCAAGGTATCGATATTCAGCTATAAAATGAATATTTAAATTATTGAAATAGTCATACAAATACTATGATGAATTTTTAGTACAGTACATTTGCTGAGGATATGTTTCCGAGCCATAATACCCAAGTCAAAATACAACAAACTGAGCTCCGCCTCTCTAGATACCTTTCAAAATTAGATATTCGCTTACTGACTTCATTTTGTGAGAGATTTCAAAGCGACCTGGTATCAATATTGAAAGTTCGAGATATGTTCAAAAATGAAGGGAATTCTCGTTTCCTTTTTGTACATATTTATTTATTTGTCTACATTAATGTTATCACCACTAGATATTATCAGTGCTTCCAATCCTAGAAGGATTTCTCAGACTTGATCTATGGGATAGCTCTCAGCTCTTCCAGCGATGTGGTTTTAATGTCATCAGGTTCTTTTTATTCAAAAAAAAAAAGAAAAAGTCACATGGGTTCGTGTCTGGCGAATATGGAGGCTTGAGCATTCTTACAGTATTACTATTGGTCAAAAATGGTGTATTATCCTGATGCAGAAGCCATGAATCGTTTTCCCAGACTTAGGGTGGATTCGTACACCAGTGCAAGTAATAATATATATGTGCACCAGTAGCAAGTAATAATATGTATGTGCACCAGTCATAAGACTTTAGTAGCAAATTAAAAACATGAATTCTTATGACTTCAATCCATCAAGAGTTAACATTTACACTAACCAACATATGTTTATTAAAGAGTTACCTTGAAATATTCAACACCAGATAGTTTGAAAAGTTCATCAAGCTCAATAAATTGAGGAGGATTGCGGTGGTGTTCTTTTCTTTGATCACTATGATCATTGTCCATAAACCAAGCCCTCACCATCTTAACGTATTGACAAGCTTCAAATAAATAAATCAAGTTCATAATCAAAAAATATCTTCATTAAACTCCAGTTACGGCGTTCCTCGGTTCCATGTCAACCTTTGAATATTTACTTTATTTCACTAGCGCCTAGACACAACAGATTGCATTCATTTTAATTTAAGTGTCCTGTGCTAGAGATAACATTCTATTTAGGCAGATTAACTTCTGAGCAAGCACATTATTTGCGCAGAGGCATATAAAATATATTTCGTGGAGATTCACATATCACTGAAGATTCGAATAGAGCATCGCATAATTCGAAACAAATATCTCATGAGAACAATTTGATGCTGAATTATGACAATCGAAAGTTTTGTGATTCGTGAACATAAATAATAAAATTTTTCCTCAAACTAATCTACAGCAATCGGAATGTTCTAGTTACCAAAACGAAAATTTTTCTCTGTGACGTACCATTTAGAATCATTACGATTTTATTAATGATCCGTGTTTGACCAAAAATTATAATAAATATATCATAGGGAACTAGACTTTTTTCTTCATATATCAGGTTTCAAACCTGATGGGTGAATTTATATTTATTCTGTATATTTTGCTAATTTGCACCAAAATGGAATTGAGCAGAACAATAACAGTGTCAGTGAAACGAGGTTGATACTGATTTGACAATGGCAAACGCCATCAAGAAGATGACAGATGTCAAAATAATCAAAATCAGGCTTGCTACTCAGAGTAATATAATATTTTTTATTACTCTGATGCTTGTTACTTCTATTTTACTCTACATTTTTACTACGTTATCACACCAAAGCATATTACGTTTTCATAATTCAATTATTCTGATCATTTTGCTGGTGTTCAAAGTCTACAAATGCATTTTGAGAGCTCATGTCGAACTTCCACTGGCTGAATTTTTTGTTTATCAAGTCTAAGTCAAACCCATTCTACTTATACAACTTTGGTTTCAATTTTGCGTCGAAGCACAATCTATTACGTTTTCATAATTATTTAACCTTATTAGTTTGCTAGTGGTAACAGTTTTCATGTTCATTTTGACGGCTCGTGCTCGTATTAAACTCTTATTGATTTGTTCATCAAGTCTAGGACAATGATTGTCTGGCAGAAAAATAAATTGTTGTTCTGCAAGTTCATGGAAACTTTTGAATATCTGACCTTGATGTATGGAGCATGAACAAAAGTTATGGAATCTGAATTAATCATGAATTATCCAAATTTTAGTACGAAAATAAAATATCTAATCGAGGCAATTGGTAACACTGATGATGGCAACCCTAATCAAAATACAGAAATGAAGTGCTGAAAATATATTTTTTCAAATTATATAAAATGAAAAAAGTATCTAAATTTGATTTACTGAGATTCCCTCTTCTTTTTGGGACCATGCTGTCCATATTAGGAGTTGGTTTCTTGTACAGGTAATGGTTTTTGAAGGTGTATTCACAGGTTATGTTTGGAAATATTTACAAAAAATATCTACTAGAGTTAATTCAGAGTAGATTTTAATCGACCCCTAATATTCACCATTCCAAATATTCTTTCAGTTTTTAGTAATAAAACCCAACTTAATCAATTGCTAGTTCCATTAAACATTTTTCAATGTCATTGTAAAAAATATTGAAGCAGCAAATCATTTTAGAGAAAAATGGATGGGAAACATTGAAATGGAAAGGAGTAAACTCTATAAGCAAAATGTTGAACCAGACACTTTTTTAGAAGAATTGAAGAAGATGCATAAGCAGAAGTGATTTTTGAATTAGGTACCTATAACTCTTTAAAATTAAAATATCTATATTGTTTATATTATTACAACTTCAATACAAATGAAGCAGCTTTAGAATTCACTAGTTGTTACTATTTATTATGAGATTTTTACACTATAAATGGTTTTACATAAACTGCTATATGTGTTTGGCTCTACAATAGTTTCCTAGGTTTCATTAAATAATGTTGAATAAAATTTTGGACTCATTATTTTGGTGTTTTTTATCCAAGCAAGATTTTTATTTTTCTAAATTCTTTTGGCACATGCTAGGAATTAAAACCTTTGCGTATTTATATTTTTTTTATTCAAGTTTTATTCAACAAATTTGTTATGCCAACAGACCTGATTGATACAAATGGAATGAATGTTGTTGAAGTTAACATTCTATAAAGTTTTTCGTAGAGAACCCTTGATATCTTGAAGAAAATTAAGTAATTCTTATATAACGAAACTAAACAGTAATTTTTCAGTCTTGTGAAATCAATAAATAACAAAATTAAAATTCATATAACTAACAACTAACGGACATTCACAGAAGTCTTAATAATAAAACAATCTCATTATTGAAGAAATGTGACTAGCTGAGGCTATCTATTTACCTAAAATGTAGCTTGTACTTCATTCTTTTTTAATAAATCTTTAAGTTGATTGGCACTTGTGACGACTTTAAACTGCTTCCTACAATATGACTAGTTCAGTCTCCATCAAACATTATTTCTCCTCTCATGATTTTTAATAAAACTAAATGGTAACTTTTCAGTCTTGTGAAATTATTAAATAACAAAATTAGAATTCATATAACAACTAGAAGACATCCACAGAAGTCTTCATAAAACAATCGAATTAGTAAACGAGAATGACTAGCTGAAGCTATCTATTTGCCTAAAATGTCATCAGCATCACTTTTATTCAATAACTCTTGAAGTTGATTGGCACTTGTTGTTATGACTTTAAACTGCTTTCTACAATTCAACCACTCCTTGTTCAATTTCGTTTTTATATCGTTGAGCTGCATTATCTGTTTTGACAATTCTTCAGATTGTTTAGTAGTTTCTTCCCTTGAAGGTTGGCCTTCGATATCTCTTGCAATCATGTCACAACTCAATTTATGGACTTTTGTGTACTTCACATCAGCAAGAAGAGCTGTACTAACTCCTATTGCCTTCTTTACATTTCCTATATTATTTTCCATTGCTTCTTGATAGGCTTTATAGGACTTTATTTGCTTGTCATAAGTTTGTTTTACCAGTTCAGACTTTTTTCTGGAGTGTTCCACTGCACTCAGTTGGCAACAAATCTTATGGTACATAACTCGCATCTCATCTTGTGAATCATTTGGGATCAATATAAACTTCAGGATCATCTTTTGAAGAAAATTGATTCTTCTCTCATCCCCAGTTCCGTCGCCATCAAACATAAGTTTCCTTCTTATGATTTTTTCTGCAAAAACATAAATTACCTACATTGATGGGGTTCAATAAGTTATGCATACCGTCAGACATTTTTTAGAATTATTTGAATTTTATTTTTTGATAGTTTTGTAACTTCAGATTACCGCTAACTCTAATATCCTACTTCTCCGGACGGTGTTGCCAGGTGCTGTGGTAAGATTGAGCTGATTGTAATAATCACTTTCTATACTGATAGTCGATGTGTTTATTAATTGTAATAGAAACGACACAACATTATAACTGTCAGTTAAAAATCGAAGTTAAACTGTAAACAAGTAGAGTCGGTGTGTGAACATGATTAACAATTGAATTCAAAACCTATGCAACATGATATTACAGGTGCAATACTTGGAGGTTAAATGGTCTCCAAACAGGAAAAAAAAATTATTGCTCATTCCAATATTTGCATTTTTGTTGCGAATCGCAAAATAACCATCGCATTTAGCGTTTACAATTGTAAGGCATTTTTTTTGCGGATAGTTTGTTGTCAGCTGTCATTTTCTTTCAATATTAGACACTTCAATGTCAACACAGAAGTTATTATGTATTTTGTTCAAGACTCCTAACATATAAGAGGGGCCTAAATCTCAAGTTATAGAAACATTTTTCCATAAAAACTAATGTAATATTCAACTATCCACCGTAATCAACATATGTCCTAGAATATGAAATTACGCCATTTTGACGACACTTGACACTTCCTTGAGTCAATAATAGACTTCAAGAGAAATGATCCAGCATGTCTACTTAAGAATTACAGTCGTCAGCTTTTCTGCATGCCTCTGGTACTAAGAGGCTACATGAAACGTGTTCAATAAAGTGTGAATAATAGTGAAATGCTATTACGAAATGTAGATTCAAGCTAGGTCAGTTAATCATGTCAATCTATTTTATCATTCCGGTGGCACGGCCATCTAATGTCATCAATAAAGTCTGAAACTAATGGAGAATATGGGTCAATATTTGAAAATTCAAAGTTTGTGGTGTCCCAACGAATACAAAATTCTCTTAAACATTTTATTAGGCATTTTTCTACAACACAATGAAAGCTGCAATGGCAAAGTGTTCCTGTATGCCTTCAAAAATAGAAGTTACTCTATAGTATGTGATAAGGTGTGGTAGTCTCCCTGTAATTTTTAAAAATTTCATGAACACACTTATCTTCCTTTTCATTGAAGCTTGTCATAGTTTCCAAAAACGATATAGTTGAAAAAGTTGATAAATTTTTCCTGGTATACAATCCATAGTTACAGAATACCGTGTTTTGGATTCACCAATTGTCTACCATATCTAGTGATAAAGCAGCTTTAAACGCTGGAAGTTGCTGGACGCAAGCAGTAACATTTCTTAAGGACATTTTTGAAACACTGTAAACTGTAACGGAACTGAAAATTTTGAAGTTTGAGTTTGAATTTGGGTTTGATTTGACGGTTAACCGTTAACCTAGAAATTATAGGAATAAAGTTGCTGAAAATATATATTCGTATATGGGAATCCCATTTACGTAAATAAAGAATATAGAAGTATATTTGAGCATCCCTATTTTATTATGGAATTAAAATCTATTCTGAGAAAGCCTCCATCCTACTTAGAGGCTGTACATTATTCAGATATTTGGACTGAAAATATTGAACTTGTTTATGTAGAGGTAAAATATATTGACAATCTGCACACCCTGTTGATCCAATTTTTTTCAGGCAGATAACAGTGATATTATTTCTCCAAAACGAGAAAGCCTTCTGCCAAATCAAAGTAACGGCAGCATTCTTGAGATAACTGGGAGTCCACTTGAAGTTGATCTTCAAGGCGATGAAAGTCTTATAAAATTGAATAAGGCAGTTGTGAACCACTGGTCTGAAGAAGAATCTAAGCATTATCCGATTGATATCAAGACGGCCAGGTCCTATATCAATCAGCAAATGAAATTGAAAATAAGAAATCACGAACCTCTCTTTGTCATTTGCAATGGAGAAAACCCTCAGCGAACAGTATTAATAGGAGCTCATAGAACAAACAAATTCATATCGACATGTTTACTCCATGTTGTGGGTTGTTTACCAAAGGATAATGAACAACTATCATTAAATGAAATGGAAAACAGTCATCGGATTTTAGTGAGACGTGGAGATTATAAGGTAGTCACTTTTGTTAATAGTAAACCTGAAGTAAAAAAAATATAATTTTATTTGTAGATCAATTACTTAGTCCGATTTAAGTACTATGTATTTGGTCATTTTCTTCAGAATGTGAAAGATATTTATGCAATGGAAAATTCTGGAAGTGTCAGTATCGAAATTATTTATAATAAAAAATATCATTTGGATCTACCCCAAGACTCGCCGAATGTAAAGAAAATGGTGAGTTGGTTACATATACATCACATTACATAAATGTTGAAATTAACTTGAGAGGAATTGAAATTATCTTTTTTAATAACTACTTGTATATTCAAAAAATGCACAATAATTATATTTTAGAAAATTATAATTCTTGGTATAAGGACTTTGAATCACGAATGAATCAGAAACTGTTTATATGCTCCGTGAATTTTACAATTTGGCAATGTTCATTATTTGTATTGTTCCTATTGGTCAATCGAAAAAGAAGCGCCCGTGGCGTCACGGGCCTAGAAAATCCGATTTTCATTAATTTATTACTGGAAAACAACGCTATTTAGAGAGCTGAAACAAAGTAAACTATTTTTCAATTTGAAATTACTACCAAATGAACTGTAAACAGAAAATCATGAATCAAGCCCATTCAGTAAAACAGTATCACAAACAATTCAACTTGAGATCATCATGTGGAATACAGACAGAAAAACAAGCCTCATATATTTTTTGAAATCTAAAAAGTTTTTGTTTTCCAGGTTTTACAAATTATAGCCGGTCACAAGACGTCGCCCGTTCATTTTCTTTGGGAAGATCTTTGTTTGTTACAAAACTATCTGGATATTTTGTTGAGCAATAATAATGACAGGCTGTTGTCATTAGAATCTTTGTCTAGCTTTGACATTTTTCAGAGCATTAAAAACATTGTCGGCACGAATTTTTGGAAAAGAGAAACAAAAATTGAATTCAGCCTTGAAAATATTCGACATAAGAATATTTTGGATAAACTCTGGAACATTTTGAAATGTATGTGCTATTTATTGGTAATTATTAAGGAGCAAGTCAATTGAACGAATGCAAATTACAACTTTCAAATTAATTGTAATATTGAATATTAATGTGTACAAAATAAAAGTTAACAGTGTCATAACTTTCACCAACTGAAACATGCTTTTCTTGCTTATTCTTTTTTAGATAATTTGTTGTTGAATAAAGTTGGCTGTATGTTATAACTTCTTTCATTTCAGTTTCTGAGGATTTGCCTACCTTGAGGGATGCCTTTCACTGCTTATTTGAAGAATTAGCACATACTGATTCCAAGTTCCAAGTGAGTGACATGGATACATGTACTTAAAATTGCTTTTTTGATACTAATATATATTATATATTTAGCAACTCAATAGCATCATCAATTTTTATACAAATATCACACCTCAATACAAGACGAAAGTATTTAAATCAAATTATATGAGGTCTGTTGAAAAAATAATGTGAATTTTCATTTTATTCAACACATTTTTTGTATGACTATGGAGAAGTAGGAAGTCAAAACCTTGTTTTCCCAAAAATTAACCTCTCCCAAAAATATATCCCTTTCAATTGATATAAATATCTAAGAATGACCATTGAATATCAATATCCACATTTTCTATAGTTTTGGAACAAACTGTATACAATGATGAATTTTATTGAAGAGTTCAGTGTACTAACTGTAACTCAGCGAGGATTTAGGAAAAATAGGTTAGTTGAGACAGTTTTTTTTAAAAACATAACAAGCACTACAGGATTTCCTGGAATCTAAATGGAATGTCGAGACAAGGGTGCTTTCGTCAGCAAAAGCAATATATTGGATTCTTGAGTCATTGATATACAATAAAAAGAGGGTTGGAGACAATATGAATCCCTGGGGAACATCAGCGTTGATGGTAAAAGTATTCAAAAGATATCCATCGATGGCTACTTGTAGGGAAGATTTTTTCAGGAAGCTAGAGAGCCATACACGAAAATTATATGACAGCAAACCCTCATACCAGACACAGTCAGAGACCTCAGAAATATCAAGCGGAACAGCCTTTGACTCTCCATGTTTCTTGATTGCCTCATTCCAAATATGGGTGACATATGATAAAAGGTCGCCTGTTGATCTTTGTTTCCGAAAGCCATATTGATGATCGCTCCAAATATTCAAGGATATGATGGTTTATGGCTTTCTCCATGATTTTTGATATCACTGATAGCAAAGCGACTGTTCTATATAGCAGTGTCTCCACATCCATTGAATTTCGTTTATTACCAATTGAATCAAGATAAGCATGTAGACTGTGGAAAAAAACGGGATGCTAATAATTAATTGTGTACTGGTATACACTTCATTTTTGTTTAAATCCTTTGAACATAATTATTGAACATTCCACACCTTTCTGCAACGAAATATCCTCAGTGGTTTGTAAGCAATTGGTTTGCCATGGATGTCACAGTAAAATTGTACATTTTATTGGGACAGAGAATTATGTAGGTATTATTTGAAAGGAAATATTTTTAAATGCCACAAAATAGTTCCATTTGAAGCATAATCTCTCATGACTCTTCTATTTTTTATGCCTTCATCAAACACGTCTTTAACCACCAATGGATAAGATATTTTAAAATTTCAAGACATGATTGCACATTAAAACAAGTTGTGACTAGAAATAATTTAGAATTCAGATTTTATTTCATAAGCTCCTAATGAAACTGAGGATGGAAATTCCATGGCTTAAGGGACTACAATTTGGCTGTCCCTTCAATAAAATAATACAATTTTCCGGACAGATTAAAAAAGGTGATAGATACAGGCTCATATAATCCTAAGTTTGTGAGAATTTCAATCTTTTTTGCACTAAGTGCTATTAAATATTGGGTAATATCTCTTCATATTTTTTTTGATTACTTGTAATGCCTTTTTAAACCACAAGGTAAACATTTTTATTACTGTAAAATTGGAATCTTTTCCTTGGAAGTATACCGTCTGGGTTTTTTACTGGAATGTTATGAAACCCTGCTAATGCATTTTCTATACATTTGGGCGTCTGGCTTTTCCTGACATTCTTAATTTTGTACCTGCTTTGGCTCCGCCTACTACTTTCCTATTAATTGATTTTTCTTGCCAAAATCATCCTACTCCAAAACTTATCATACCTAAGAACCCGCCTTTTGTTGTAAAAAGTTAGGAACATTCTGTACAGTAGTTTATAAGTAGTTCTTGAGCAACCTTTGTAGCAAACACTCGCTTTCAACTAAACTTAGAGTATATTAATTGCTCATATTTTCAATTTGGTACAAAAAAAATTGCGATATGTGATAGAATTAGTCGATACCTAATGAACATCCATACCATATTGAAGTAACACTTTATTTTAAGATTTCAACTGAACAGTTTATCATATATCGAAACACGTGTTGCGGTTTTGCAAACTGTGCAGTAAAAATATCAAAATAAAGTGTTCCTCAAATCAAATGGGAGGCATCTCTTCCATGATTCAAATGACGGTTCATTATGTATATTACTCGGCAGTGTTTTCCTGTTTAGTTTTTACAGTTGGAATTTTTTACGATTTGTATTGTAACATAATAACTATTTGTAGGTTCCCGAGGGCCAGACATCCAATATTGGTATCATTATAAATGGAATTCTGGATGGGAAATTTGCTGTTCCAACTTTAACCTATCAACAGGCTTTAGAATTTTTATTTGAAATCGGGGCAGAGAAATTGAAAAATGACTATCAGAGTATCATAAAAAATTTCTATTCGACATCTGGTACCACAATTTCTGCCAAGTGGAGGTAAGATTGACTTGGAATATGTACCAGTATCACTTAAATATTTAATCCTGAATAAAGTGATTGCAGTGCTTACCTTTAATGTTATTACATAATGAAGATTGGGAGGATCTGTGTCTCTCTGAAGGAAATGCAAATAAAAAATCTTTAGTCTTTTTACAAACTGTCAAACATCTATTCGATGTTCTTTTCCTCTGAAAACTGGAAAACCAAATCACAGATTGACCCAAAAAAGCCATGGTTGACTTATTATTGGAAAAAAATTGTATAACTTCTATAGCCCAACTCCCAGGAAATGAAAATATCAAATCCTATTATAAAACGTGTAGAAATGTATGAAACATCTGTTGAATGTAGCAAAAAAAAAGTATAATAATAGCCTGATTGCCAACTCTAAAAATAAAGCTAAAACTGCTCGGATCATAACAAATCATTTTGCTGAGTATTTCATTAGTATTTCCACAGTAGACAGATAGATAGATAATTTTATTAATTCCCATAAATCATTTACGTGACATGAGATAAGTCCAATGGTACTCATAAAGATAAGATGAATATAATAGTTTGAATAGTCACCTATTTACACATAACAACATTTAGTAATTGATTGAGAACACAATATACAAATATAAGTCTAGAGTTGGAATGCAACTGTTTACAAAACCAGTTGAAAATATAAAATAAAATGTACATATAAAACATACTAAAAGTGTTCAAAATTTGTCTATAGGTCATTGGATATAGTTCTAATATTCAACTCAATGTAGTCAGTTCAAGAAATACTTTGTTGTGAGACTTTCTTCTAAAACGTTTTACAAAAACGCAACACGTGTTTCGTTATACAATAACTTCTTCAGTCACTTCGCCACAGTAAATGAAGAAAACTGAGCAAAACCTGAAGGTTTGTTCAAACTTGGGGTGCTTTTTCTAGTCTTGATTCTTTCCGGCTCTTCCAAATGGCTGATTGGACTGTGGTTTTGATGTCATAACCAGATACTCATGATTCATCACCGGTTATGAACCTTTTGAGCAAATCTGGATCACCGTAGACGTCATTCAACAATTCCTAAGCGATGCTTATGCGATAGTTTTTTGGTCACAATTCAGCAATTTTGGAATGAACTTCGAAGCCACACGCTTCATTATCAAAATTTCCGAAAGAATTGCATGACAACTTCTCAAATAGTGGTACGATGATTCGATTTTCTTCACTTTCTCAACAGAAGAACTATACCAAGATGGCGACAACGAGCAAGTCGTCTGAAAGTGCTTAGTTTAAAAATGAGTGTGATTATTGTAAAAAAACAGTTGTATATTCAGTGAAGTGTTTAAGATGTATGGATATCTTCCACCCATGCTGCATGGTACAAGCAGCCCATATAAGAAGTGCATCATGTCGACATGAGATAAAGAGTTCTATGGCTGTGAATGAAGTGACTAATAAAAAATTTCAATAAGATCTGGAAATAAACCCATATTCAATTGAAAATCAATTCTTGCATCAGCTACTGCAAGAGTTTGTATCTAAATGTGACATACTAAACGAAAACTGCAGTTTGTTGAAAGACAAAATTATTTATCTAACTGAAAAATTAAATAGTTGTGAAGTAAAAAAGAGCTACAACTCGGGTAATACGGCAAGTGTAGAAAAATGCCATATACCAACAAAAAGTGCTGAAATCAGTCGAACAGGAAAAACTCCAACTACTGGTTCATCGAAGATGATACCAAAAAAACCTACCTATAGTTCAGTGGCAATAAACAAGAAAACGGCTAGAAATACAGCGAAAATGTTCACTCATAAGGAGGTTAATGCAGCAATCTTGTCAGCTGTAACTACAAATATAATGCATGATTTACAGGACTTGGGAACAAATTCAGATGAACAAAAATGGGAGAAAGTTTCACATAGAAAACATTTTAAAAATAAAAAAAGATATATGGTGGGAGGAAACGAAGAATTTCCAGGCATTAGTACAGTACCTAAAGTTATATCACTGCATGTTATACGGCTCACTCCAAATACAAGCTCTGATGATTTAAAAAAGGTTTCAGTGAAACAGTTTCCAAAAGTGGTTTGTGAGGAACACCCGTCCAAGTTACCAGACCTGTATGCTTCTATGAAAGAACTATTAAACAAGAAAACTTCAGCAGGGCTGGGAAACTTGAAATATGGCCAAGCGGTGCTTTTGTATCGTGGTTTTTGTGAAAGAAGAAGACTGCACCACAAGAACAAGTATAGCTGGTGAGTCCAGGGAACAAGTGAAATTTCAAAAATAATATCAAGAGATATTTTCTCAACCACTGTTCCTACACAATCGAAGAATATGCTGATGTAGCTGGTCAATTCATAGTTCTTGAAAAATGATTCATGTTGTAAAGCTGGGATAAAGCCTGTTCTTATGTTTGTTGACCTTTTTATATTGATATCTTTATTTTAATAACCTTCATGTGACACTGATCATTTAAGGAATTTTGATACGACAGTTTTATTTATTTATAAAATTTATTACTTCAATCTAGATACGTTGTTGCTCATCTTAAGTGTCTGACATAGTACCTATAGTATCTATGACTTGCCATAAATGTATTTTGTATATAAAGTGGTCAAATGAATTACTCTACTTTACTCTACTCGTTTTCATCGGTTGTTGATGTGCTTTGGCGTCCTTGTACCGCTTGTAAATATCCTACAGAAGTGCCACGAGGTTCTATTCTGGGACCCTTGCTTTATATAATCTATCTCAATTATTTTGCAGGTAATGTTATAACAATAATGATAATAATTTTATTAGTCTTCAGAAACACACGGTTTTTAGACACGTCAATACAATTTCTAAAATAAGTGTGAGAGGATAAGATTCGTCAATACAGGTTCTAAAAAATGCTGATAGATACATTAAATTAACAAAAAAAATGAGTCTTATAAAAATTGACTATAATGTAAAGTCATGAGCATTTTACAAATTATAAATCACGTAACTGACATATTATATCTATTTGAAGTTGAGTACAAGTTCAGGTGGTGACCATAGAAGTGGCTCTTTCTTCTTGAACAACTTCGAAAAATTGATCAATTTCATATAATGAATGTTTGATTAATATTTTCTTCAATAAGTTTTTGAATCTTCATAATGGCAAATTACAAAATTCGACAGTATGACACTACCTTACTGGTAAATGAAAAAAACATCACAGATGCAGGTGACTCTCTCCACAGGATTGGTTCTCCAATAATTAATCAATCTGTAATGATAAAACATCTTTATTTGTAAGATCTATCACAAATCAAGTAGTTGAAATTAGTGTATGAAATGCTTCCCTAATTATTCCGATTGTTACTCAAGTGAATTTTGTATTTCATCAATAAATATTTCAGTGAATAAACATTATTACTGTTGTTACAGCAATCTCCAGAAAAAAATGTTTTCGGAAGACTCCAACAGAAAAACCAGAATAACAGTGAACCTGAAAAGTGCCAAAGTAGATGTTATGAATGCTGTTTCGAAATTAGCTTACTTAGGCAAACTCCATGTGGCGACAGAGATGATATATTTGGTGAAAACTCACATTCACTTACCGGAAGATGCATTCCACTACTTCTCCGAGAAAATTTATAAGAGCTACGTAGATAAAAACGCTCCTTCTGATTACTTCTTGGAGTTGCAGGACAATCCTCTTTGTGAATTTGAGACGGCGATTGATACTCCGAATGAAACTATTATTAAAACGTGAGTAATTTTGAGAGAAACATAGGGTATATTTTTGGGAGAGGTTAATTTTTGAGAAATAAAACTTTTGGCTTTCTACTTCTCAATCCTTATACAAAAACATGTGGGAGTCCTCCGAAGAAAGAAAGAAAGCAGTTGATTTCAAAACAAACTCTATACAAAGATGTGTATTTCATGTAGAGAAGCAACTTTCAGAGACAAATTGGAAGAAAAAGTCTTCTCGAAACAACTGAGACGTTGAAGTATGCCCTTCCTGTGGCTCATCGACTTTGTTTTCTCTACCCTTCCCAAACACTTCATTACACCAGAATTTTTCTTGGTTCCTAACATTATCCCTAAAAATTTTACATAAGAATGTTCTAACTTTCTATTTTTGTCGTGGTAAGCAGATTTCTGATACATTCTGATCAATTTGAAACAGATCCCAGAATCACTGCTTCAATTACTTTTTGAACAGCTCTCTCATATGGTGGGTAGATAGATTATTTGAACGTTACAATACAAGATACATAGTACAGAGCATCAATCACTATGGGAATCAATAATAGCCACTATTTCACATTTACTTGTGAATAAAATAAAACATTATGAAACAAATAAACACACGTAAAAATCAACTATGACTACTGCTTTCGATTATCATATGATCTGAGTCAACCTCACTTGTGTCTACTCCCTTTCGAAATTCCTGGAACGCCGTGTCTATTCAATAGTTGTTTCACTCGGCTGCTAAAGGATTCCATCGAGTTATATAGGCATAACCGCCTCGTGGGAGAATTAATCTAGTTTGGAAAGTACAGTGCGAATTGAGTAAACAAGAAGGTATATATTCGAGGCTTAGTCTGGAGTTTAGAGTATTAGTAGTGTATTAGTAGTGTAGTAGTAGTGAAGTGGAGTTCATTTGTACAGTGTGGTCAGTTGTTGTCATATCTATAGGGAAACCGTAACAATATTTTTTATTAATTTTGTGCTGCATATTAAATAGATAGATAGATAGACATATACTTCATTGTCCAAGAAAATATAATCTTATTAACAATATAAAAAATAATATAATATAAATAATATAAACAGGACTAATAATCTTGTAAACCGATTTCGATCTTCTGTAACATAATATGTTTGCGGACATCATTTCTTGTTTTCAGGAAGTCATGATTATTCACGATGAATTTATTGAATAAGCTTACAAACTTGATGATGACGTAACATTATACTCAATGAAGTAGCATTGTTTGATTTTTTTTAATGGTGAATAATTGGTCATAGTTTAAGCTTCTCCCTAGAAAATCGGAACATATGAAAGACATGATTGAAGCCAAAATGTAGATGTTTTAGTACTTCCATTTACAATTTACATGGTGGTACGTAAGTTTCCAGTAATGAAGCAATAGGAACTTGATTTTGAGGATGTATGGTCGACATGATCATTCCATGTTAGATTTTGGTTCAAGTGGACCCCTAAAAGTTTTTTATATGTTGAGTTTCCTAATGATATTTTTTAAATTCAACTGAACAGCTATTTTTTAGAAAAGTTTTTATTACTTCAGCACTGAGTCATATTTTCGATGGATTCCTTTGCTGTGTTCTGTATTTTCTTCCCTTGGTTGTCCAGTAACAATTAAATTAGTGTCGGATATCTCGTTTTACGTAATTCTTTTTGGAAAATCAGTTTTGAATATATTGCATGAAATTGATGATAGGACATCATCCTTGTACCAATCTAATACTGCTGATTTTAAGTTGTTGGTTTCTGTTTGGTAGATATGATACAGTTGATCTTTCAACAAAGTGTGATTTGTCTCAAGTCCCATGTCCCATGATTCACGGATGTGAGATAAACTTCATCTAATGCTGCCATAGTAGAATTTATTGAATTAGAGGAAGATCCCAGAAACAGATATTCATAGGAATGTTACACAATGTGATATATGAAGAAGTATTGACATAAAAGTCACTTACATGGACCACTGTCCTCGTCAATGGTGTACTTCGAAGTTTCGGAACAAGAACTTCTCTTATCACTTCATCGTTTTAGATGCATTTATGAAACAAAGTATTAGATTACTTCCATAACATTATGAGCGTGGAAATTTCTCCCATTTCTTTTTTGATTCGGAATAGAAAGCTAAAAAGTGTTTTTTCCCAAAAAACATCTCTCCTAAAAACACTCCCTTTTCATCTCGAAATATCTGTTTATTTTCAATATTGAAAATCTGTTTTTATATACAGTGCATTTCATTAATTCCCCCTCCCCTTTTATATTTTGAACGAGTCAACTCAAAAAATTGAAATTTGGGATAATGAAATTAATGCATGAATTGACAAATGAAACTTTCAAGATGGCGACTGGACGCCATCTGGGGAAAAAATGAAATGGAAAATGGGTGTTTTATGACACATCATTTTAAAGCTCCTGACGAATACTTACTAGAATATGAAGTCAATATCTTCACCTACTTCAAAATGGCGAAACATTTAATAATTTCCTGAAGACAAACACATTACCATCGATATTTCTAGAAATATTCCTTTTTATCTGCCATATGGCAATTCCAATAACCCGATAGGGTTTGTTAAGTTATTTTTTGTTCATAAAAACGACAAAAAATTTCACTACGACAATGAACATCATTGTTCACTTAGAATATTCTCATTTAGATTTCGGTTTACTAGTAGAAAGGTAACACGTCAACAATCTCCAAAATGGTCAATACTCGTCCATTAGACGAAAAAATAGAAGCGATTTTTATTTACAGTGCGACGCGTAACTTTCACGAGACCGGATTTTCAATGAACTTTTTCCGAATCGTCCTATCTGTAGAAAATATTTGAGAGAACTTGTATCCAAATTCACAACTACCGGTAGTGTACATAACAAAAAGCCCCCAGGTCATCCGTCCATTCCGGAAGAACATCAAGTGCAAATAATTGGTGAGATGGTAGTAAATCCTGAACAGTCTACTTATTCCGTCGCGAATGTTTGTGTGGTGTCTCCTTCTACTGTATGGAGACTTTTGAAGAAGAATAGGTATCATTCATAAAAATTAAAATGGTACACCAATTAACTGAAGATGACCCTGATCGAAGAACAGAATTCTGTGAAATCATGACGGAAACCATTGCAAGGCATCCTACCTATCTCCACAATATTTGTTTTAGTGATGAATGTACATTTTTTTAAACGGCAATGTTCACAGACAAAATTGCCGTTATTGGAGTGACACCAACCCTCAAGTTTTCCAGGAAATACATACCCAATATCCAGAAAAAAATTAATGTTTTGGCTGGAATATTGGGAAACCATATTGTAGGACCTCTATTAATTGATCAAAATTTGACAGGAGAACTGTATTTGAATATGCTGGAAACTATTGTTGACCCTCTCATCACTGAAATCGTCGGAAGCGAATCCTAATGAATCCTATATGGATATTGTATTCCAACAAGATGAAGCACCACCACATCACCCCAGACCAGTAAGAAACTATTTGGATACTATTTTTGCCGGTCGTTGGATAGGGCCGTCGAGGTCCTACAGAATGGCCAGTCCGCTCGCCAGATTTGACACTTTTGGACTTTATACTTTTTTTTGGAGCTATTTCAAGCAAAAGGTGTACGAAACTGAACCTGATTCAATATTTGATATACGGCTGAGAATAATAAATATTTGTAGAAATATTGTCGTTTCTGTGTTCAAAAATGTTCGAACACAGAAGTTCAAGACAACCATTTCGAGCATCTTCTGAACTGATTTCAAGCTTATTACCTCATAATATGTAGATAAATGCCATTGTTTTCAGGCAGTTATTAAAAGTTCCGCCATTTTGTAGTAGTTGAAGATATTGACATTATATTCTAGGGATGTGAAGCATTTGCTAGGAGCTTCAAAAAGATGTGTCACAAGACCCCCTTTCCATTTAATTTTTTTTCCCAGATGGCGCCCAGTCGCCATCTTGAAAGTTTCATCTGTCAATTTCACTTCAAAAGTAAGTATTCTTGCATTAATTTCATCATCCCAAATTTCAACTTTTTGAGTTGACCCGTTCAAAAAATAAAAGGAGGGGGGTTCAAAAAATAAAAGTGGGGCATTCAAAAAATAAAAGGGGGAGTTCAAAAAATAAAAGGGGGGCGTTCAAAAAATAAAAGGGGGGTGGACATTGAAGAAAGGCACTGTACATATTCATGAGTTACTCTGTTTCCAGTATATTAATATTATTCTTCCCTTTTAGAGAATTGCCTGTATCGTGGTCATTGCAGATGACTTCTTCAGCTGATAATTTGGAGGCGACAACGGTTTATCACTTGTCAAGAACTCCTATAGTTCCGACAACAATTTTCAATAATTACGGTGAGTGACTTTATTAAAAATATTGGACTGTTTGGATATAACAAGTTTTCACCTCCATAAATACCAAAATGAATAGATCTGTTGAACAAATAGAGTGGGTGCATATGATTATTCTTTCAAGGGTTATTTGAGAATTCAACTTTTTTTTGTATTATCACTTCAAAGAAACATCACTTTTTTCAGATATCTCTAAAATTACTGAGGAAGATGCGATGGCCTATTACGTATGCAAATTCGAGAGCCACAAGGATTTTATATAGTGAAATATTTTATGTTAGTTGAATGATATATTTATGTTTTTTATTTTGAATATAAAATGTAAAATATTTTTTGTTTCAATTCCATTACTACTTTTTTCTCTCATTTACATATTTTCAAGTTTTTCAAGAACTTATCTAGGGATCTTGCTTTGGAAACATTTTCTTTAATATATTCATACACCGACGAAAATTGGAGTAGTTTGAAAACCAAAGTTGAAAATCAAATCGAAACACTAAAAGATTGTTTCCAATTAACTTTGAAAAAACCAAGTTCCTGCAGTTCGCAAGCTACGAAAGTCATTTGCCAAACTATGATAAAATAATACTGAATGATCGCAAAAAAAACGTGGAAATTTCACGAGCAGACCAAATGAAATACCTGAGAGTTTCAATAGATCCTCATGTTAGATGGAATAAACATATTACCCAGATCTCGAAATCGCTAAATGCATACTACATAAATTTAAATACTTGAGATCTTTCCTCGATATCAATCACCTTAAAATATTCGATATCAGACAAATATACATATACAACTCATCTTGTATATCTACAAAAACAAAATAACTCTTCGACCAATTAGACACAAATATAATAGCCGCACTAAATCATAGGGTGATGTACAAGTGAACGTAACAAAAAAATCCATTGGTCAACACTCATACAAATACCACAGTGGGAAAATCTTCAACTTCTTACCGGACATGAACAAGACCTACATTTATACAATATTCAATATCAATAGGGTCATCATTCATAATATTTTTATAAAAAAATAAAAACGACAATAGTTATCCTAAGTTCAAAATCTGTTATTCTTTCCTTTTATACCATTGCACATTTGCACTTATCACTCAAATATACCTATCAAAGTACCGTAATTCAATATTATATTTATGTCCATAATTATCTATTATATACTTCTAACTGTTTTATATATACAGTAGGCTGTATTACAAATAATTGTATTGTTTCTCAATTCAGCTCATTAATTATGCACATTTTGTAATAGGAGTCCCACGCACAACTTGGGTTTTAGTGGGTTTCTCTGTCTTTGTTTGTACTGCGTTACTTAATATCACTGTTTCAAATTATTGTAAAATGTATTTATGTATGAATGAAGCTATTATTATTATTATTATATATGACTGACCCAGATTCAGATCCTACCATTTTTTAAAAACTTATATTCCATGAATAACTAACCATTAAAATCTTTCAAGAGATTCAGAGTTTCATTCAAATCGTATAAACCAAAAATTTATCATAATTTTTTTTATATTTTATTAAAACAACGATAAAAATGAAAACAACAATAAAAATTAATTGGCGCTCCGGGGCGACTTCATTGATTCCAGTGGCGCATTTGCTTTTTCAGCTGCAGGAAAACCCAGAAAAACCTGCAGCACCACATCATCTGAAGATCTTGATCTGCCAATGTCCTCTCTCTCATAAAACAAAATGTAGGGTGTCTCCAGAGGCTCCAATAGATTCAATACATCGCCAGAACACTTCGTGACACGACTATCGTCAAACTTAAACCAGTCCGTTTCGTATTTGACCAAGGCGTAATAATGACCAAATTCAACGCCAGAACCACAATGACTGCATGAATATTATAATAGTGGTCTGCTAGATTGAAATGTTCATCTATTTCGAACCTTCCAAAGAGTTTCTTGATTCCGTCAGAGGTTGAGTCTTGTTTGAAGATCATCAGTGTTATTATTAGATTGACTGGTGCCTCAGCTATACTTGTTTCCTTATAACAGCCCGTTAGTTTGGCAATACAGTCGATCATCACCTGTTAAAAATTCCATTTTCAGATGATTTAACAATAAGCTTTGCACGGACTGGTTATTAGTCATATTAGGAAAAGCTAGATGAAGATGAAGGAAATTTCTGCATTTGAAAATTGCATCCCTTTTGGTAAACTCATCAATATATGTATAGTCTATCCATTCCCACTTGGAACGGCAATAAAAATAAGAGTACAGTCATAAACATTTCTTGTCTGTGGCTCCTTGTTGCCCAGATAGTTAGTAAACGTGCTATTAAATGTAGTTGAGGAATGAAGGCTCGGCTAGCTGGACGGGCTGAATACTGATTTTTTGTCCGTTTCACAATATTTTTTATCAGTGCCGTCTGTTCGTGGGGTTAGGTGAGGTAGTGAGTGGTTTTGCAAACCGATTTTCGAAAACTTTTTCTAAAGATCAATTACCTTAACACCAAACTGATATTGTCAACAATAGATTAAAAAACGGACAAATTAATTTGCAGGTAGTGGTTCCACTAGTTAATTACCGAAAAATCAATTAGGATAATCATCATTTAACAAACAAAGTTCACATCGGACCAAAAAAATTTGGGTATANGGACATTTTCTGTGAAGATTCCTGCACTGACGCCTGTCTGATATAATCCAACGCCCTTCGTGGTATTAGCCAGGGGAGTAGTTGTTTTCTGATAGGCGTCAGTCCATTAAACCTACTGTGTAGGTATATAGAGACTGGCTTGAACGTTTGAAGTTCCATTTGCTTTAGATTTACCAAAATTTATTTTTGTTTGTGCATACCCTAACGGGCATAAGCATTCTGCCAATCTTTGGATAGCTAAGTAAGAAAATTAATATAGTAGTTACTAATTCCTTGGCTTTCATTTTTTCGAAAGTTGGGAAATTTTGCTGGTGGGGTTGGGAATATTTGGATTCCCCCCCTGGTTTTTCTTTTCGCTACGGCCCTGCTTGGGATGGTAATGTCTGTATAGCTAGGTTTTCTGAAAACATTGAACTCAGAAATCCTTGGCATGCAACCACAAGTTCCCGAATCTAAACGATGCGGAAATTTTGCACTATGCAAGGAAGGGTTGCAAACTCAATTACCTATTTAGAATCTTTGGAAAATCTCAAGCATTAACATTGCGGGTGCAACCTGTTAAATGATCAAATCGATTTAGTTTCACCGGTTTTCAAATTAGCATATCCGCATTGTAACTAGTAAACAAAATTCAGGTACTCAATCAAGCCAAGTACCTCTATTATTACCTACAGGGCTGCTATGTAAGGGCTAAAGTAATCAACCATTGTTAGTTTAATGTATGTCCTTATAGCATGAAACTAAGATAACGTTAGTTACAAATAAAAGTAGTTAAAAATATAAAAAGTTTCAATTCTCTATTCTTCATTATGATCTCCACGTAGTAACGGCTACATCCATCAATTTATTTCTAAATAGTGTTGTCGTAAAAGAGACTTGTCCAATTTAGGTGAAGTTCAGTGAATGAACCGATTATTTAAAAACTTTTCTAATTGAAGACGTAATTTCCATCCCATCTCACTCATAGGCTATAAGCTGCTACCTAATTACTCATTCAGCTGAGTGTGTGGGTCATAAACAAATTGCCCTAATTAACGACCTTTGCTGACACAAATACCTATTTTGAATTCAATGAAACACAATTTTAAAATCCAATTGCAGTTCAATTTCGCAATGAATATCCAGGAAACGATGTGACACAGAAACAATTTGAAACCAATACACTGAAGGAATAAAGAATGAATTTAATCTCATTAGAGGAAACCTGAAATTCGTTACGTACATAATAAGGATTCATCACCTACTTCGGTAACATGTTCAGTTTGCTGTTCACGTCACAGGAGACAGGTATTGAGGAAAGTGTGGAAATAAGTTCGATTGTGTCGTAGTGTACGTTTTTGCTTTATGGTAATTTGGAAATGGTATGTATATATTATGTTATTGATTGATTTATTGAAGGAGTTCTTCTACATATAAGTTTTTTATATTATTACAAAAAAAGGCGAAATTATTCAACACTTCCGAAAAGTGATTAATTTCAAGGTATGATTCTTCGTCATATTTTATAAAAAAACTTCATGTAAACTGATTTTTCTTTCGATGAAAAAAGACAAATCCAACAATTTTTTAACCGATTTGAATATATAAACGTGATAATTAATTTCAGCTTTACTTTTTGTATTAATATAATCCCTTTTTGTCAAATCTATTGAGATTTGATTGATTTTCTGAGTTTTGCGTATGACCCCCCTTTTCATTCATTTATTTTTCAAAAAGTGAATATCTACTATACAACAAGCAAGATGTTATTTAAAAATTATTCAAACTCACGAACAATTATTATTGAAGGTACAATGCGTTTTATCCTAAATAGCAATGGAGTGATTTCATATATACCCAAAGATACGACGAGTACGAAAAGGCATATATAAACCCAATAACGTATAAATCAAACCTCGCAACACACGCCATACAAAACAAACATAACTTTCCCCCACCAGAGAACATAAAACTCTTAAAACAAGCCAACATCTGGGAAAACTTAAATATCCATAAATTTAAAAGTCATAATTCACTTATCGAGGAACAAATATACAAATCAAAACACAACAAGACCTAACATTCAATATACTACACAATAAAATACACCTAGAGAGAATCCAACACAAAGGAAATTACCTAATGCAACTCAAATACAGTCAAATTTACCTACAGTACCTGCACTAAGGTGTTCTAATCGCATAAAAGAACAAACAAGAAGATACAACATTCAGTTTTGGTAGAGCCAAGAAGATGATAGCATAGCCAGCTATCGAAAGCGCTCGCATATAATAAATAGAAGTCATAAGCTTCAAATCCTTTTGTGACATATGTTAATATTGAAATACTGAAAATAAGGAAACATTATATGCATTATCAAAAAAATTATGTAGAAAAAAATGTAAGTACCTAATTAATAAAAAAACCTTTCTTTCTTTAAATATTCAATATCCGATAACTTGAATAGGGCATACCTATGTTCATATGAACTTCATCACTTATGACTCACCTCATATCTGTAGTGAGTTCTAAAAACAGAAAGTGAGAGATATGAATAAAGTATAGGTTTCAACTTTGAAATTGAAGTATGAAATGAATTTAAGAGAAACCATTAACAATTAAAACTTTTTCACGGATATATTTAAACCTCCCTATTTTCCCTAGTGATTTTGGCTAATGTTTGGCCTAATTTTGAAATTTTCTGCTATCTCGACGCATAATTGAATAATATTCAATTTAAAAAAGTGTATTTTTCCTGAAATGCAATTTGCGTAATACCAAACATGAGAAATATATTATTGTCCTTGCGCTTGTGTTCAAAAAGTAGTCTGAATTATGATATTAGAAACGATAAACAAATTTGTAAAAAACAAATACTAAAATATTGAATCTACTGTTGTTTTTGAAAAGTTAGAAAAAAATACTAATTCTCGCTACTTTTGTATCTGGTTAATGATTCAAAAAGTTCATTTATTGGAATTTACTTCATAATCAATTTTGAACTAGATTTTTTCTTAGATCCTTCCTTTCTGGGAGACTCGTTTTTAAGTTCCTACGTCTCCGTTACGAGTAAGAAGGAAAAAAGAACTTTCAAAGAAAGAAAAAACCTATATGAAATAACTACTTTTTATTGTCGACATAAAACGCTACATAAAGTAATAATTGACAGAATTAAGCCTTATATAAGAAGAAATATCACTTAAAAAATTGATATCAATCCTGGAGTTTGGAGTAAATATTTGGTTCACCTAAACTAGGATTCTGGGGTGGATTTTGGTTCTCTTCCTTCATTAACTTCAAATTTCTTCATTCCGGCCTGGAAAATAATAGTTTTCTCCTGAAAAATTTGTGTTAACCAACTCAAATTGAGCTATACCGGATATCTGATATGGAGATATGCTAATAAAAGTATTGTAGACTATAGTGACTGACTTCAGCGGCGAAAACCAATTAATCTACTTCTATAGGCAAATTTTCATAAGATCTAATTTTTTTCGAAATGTTACGGATTGCTAACCAAAAAAAGGTACGTTAATGAAGTGATGGGTGTCCAGATACGCCACAGAGTAGAAGTAGGAGGGCATATTTTCATTTTTATGCATGATGGGGCCTGTTCCTATGCTGCAGAGATCTTGCGTCAGCACCTACAAACCAACAATATCCCAACTTTGGGGTTGCCCGTTTGCATCCCGGACCTGAATCTCATCAAACATGTTTGGGGTCAACTGGAAAGAAGCATCCGAAGCCTTTAAAACCAACCCACCGCTTTTGATGATCTTTAGTTTGATGATGTTTAGTTTTAATGTCAATAATTATAGGGTTTTCATTTCGATTTTGGTAGTTCTTTCGAATTAATATAACATATGATAAGTTTTTTACTGTTAATCTGTTTTTAGGAGTTTTTCAATTAGCGAAAGAGGTGACCACAAAATATGCCTCATTACTTCAGAATTGAAGTTTCTCATAGTCCATGTCAAGTTCTACTCTTTTCCACAACAGTCTATACACGTTCCTTGATTTCTCTTTATTTTTAAGGATCACCTACAGATTATGAAATTTGGATATGCCATAGTGATAGGAGCTTTCATTCTCATGATGTGGATTTCCATGTTAGAATCCAAAGAAATCGAATCCGTTCACTACCCGCCGTGTTTCTTCAATCCTCTGTGTAGTTGTTCGAAGTCCGTGCCGGATTTGGGTATCGTCAGGTGCCAAGATGTTCATTTGCCAAGAATTCCAGAAACTGTGAACATTTCCAAAGTTTTCATGCTACATCTAGAGAATAACAAATTGAGAACACTGGAGCCTTTTTTTCTTCAAAGTACAGGTGAGAACGAAATAAAATCAGGAAGGTATCAGTATTCCTGCTCCATTTCTGTATTCTAGAGTAACATTGTGAGCGTTTTTAAAAGCTTTTATTTAAGTTGACTTGTATGTACGTTAACAAATCTTTCAAGTTTAATTTGACCCACTTCCCAGTATCCGATTGATCTGAAATTGGGCTTGCTGGTCCAGAACCGATGACGATGCATGTTAATCATAAACGTGACCTGATGCTGCAGCCAGGATCGGCTCCGTACGAGAGATCACCTCAGCGGTAAATAGATAGCAGGGACACGAAATTTTGTATACGCATTCGTTTATCATAGGCAGTTGGTAGGCCCACCATGAAGTAGATGCCACATCCAGGGTTGGCTTCAATGAAATGAATATATTTCTAGAAAAAAAATAAATCAAGCTTTTACCTTTAAATACCTACTTCCCGACTCTAAAAAGAAGACAATAAATGGTGTAGTAGTTTGTAAGAACCCATATTCATTTGCATTGTAATAAAATAATTGCATAAGATAGTCTAATAGATTATACTAGAAAAAATGATAATACAGATTCAAATAATATTATACCATCTGATATAAACAAGACTGGGGGGTTGCCTAAAGAGTTGGAATATTTGTGGGGGCCAAGGTGATGTTGCGATACAATGTTGATGTGTCTAAGGGTCTAGTGAATGGTGTCATCGGTCATATAATAGAAATTATATGGCCCTGTTTCCGGGGAGCACAAATGTATGACACGGACATTCCATCAGTCTGTATCGACTTCGGCAAAGATGGGGTCTACGTTATTCAACCGAAATCTGTGCAATTTCCAGCTGAATTCAGCCATGGTACAGCTGAACGTAGAATGGTGCCAATTGTTTTATGCTGGGCTTGTACAGTTCACAAAATGCAGGGTAGTACGGTTGAGAACGCTGTTGTATACTTGGGTTCAAAGTTATTCGCTGCCGGCCAAGCGTACGAGGCTTCAAGTAGGGTCACATCAATAGAAGGCCTCCTGATAGAAGAATTAGACTGTTCGAAATTAACTGGGACTCGGCCATGTAATGATGACGCCATCAATGTAATGAATAGACTAAGAAATAGACTAAGAAATATAACAAACTGATTCTTCTTTAAAGGAATGCCGGAGGAGTAGGTACCAACCTACTTCTATAGAATATAGTTTATCCTTATAATAGTTTTCCCCGTTCCTCAAGTTTTTCTGTTGAAGGACTCTCCGTTTTATAGATGGACTTTCGTATTGATCGATAACTATCGATTGATACTAAAAAATATAAAATAAAATAATGATAATAAACTTTTTAAACAAGCTTTCATTTAAGTGCCCTGAAAAGATCAAAATAAAATTTTAAATCACATTAACCACATTCATTTATGACTTTACAGAATTGAAATTATAATAAAAGCTTATCGCGATGCCTAGAAGAAATCTCTACATATTCAGTTAGATGAAATTTAAACAAAATTTTAAATTTCAAACCCGATAAATCCTATGTGTGCAAAAAAGTTATTCAAGGTTTAAGTTCCACATTTCAAGCATTCACGTCACTTTTATTTAATTACAAACATTATGAATTGCTTACAAGTTTAGTAGGTGCTTACCTAACTACAACATTTCAATTACAAATTGAAATTATCGCGACAAGCTTTTATTATAATTTCAATTCTGTAAAGTCATAAATGAATGTGGTTAATGTGATTTGAAATTTTATTTTGATCTTTTCAGGGCACTTGAATAAAAACTTGTTTTAAACGTTTTTTATCATTATTTTATTATATGCTACCGAAAAGTAAAAGCCTTTTTTGTTGGCTTAAAGAAAGTCACCGAGAAAAGAAGGAGATTGAAGCTTATTCGGGTGTCGTGGATTTTGCAGTGGTTATACTGAGTAGTATTACGGCCTGACAATTAATTGTTTGTGAAACAATTGATATTGTGATGTGAAACCAGGGTTGACAGTTTTAAACCAACATGCTTGAAACCATGGTTCAAACCAAGATTCAAACCAACTGTTTTTTTTATTGGGTTCTTCTTTCTATGTTGTTGATATTATTTTAATAATGAAAACTACAGCTCAATAAACTATCAATCAAAATTTGATATTTAAATATTTAAATTGATATATTTTAAATTTTGTTTGAAGGTGATTGACAAATACTTTGAATCAAATGAACCTAGTTCATACAAAAAAATCTGTTTTTTTTGAAGAAAAACCTTGTAACACGCCAATTTTAGTTACATAGTTAGGTGACATATTTCTACGTGAAAATCAATCTCTTGCCAGCCAACCTACAATCATGAAAATTTCAAATGAAAGTAAAAGCCTAATGAAACCTTATTTGAAAGGTATCTCAAGTAATTACCCAATTCTGTAATATTTTCGACATTACGTCGATGAGCAATGTCATAAAAAAATCAAAAATCCACTCAATTGCACTCTTTCGTTCTTTGTAGTGATCCTAGAAGCCTATTCTTTAAATAATTGTGCAGATTTTGTGAGTAACGTGGAGGAGCAATGTCCGGTTCATACAGAAAATCCACTTCTTCAATTCAAGATCATTTACTATGGTACTAGTAAGATCTGGGTAGATAGCATTCTGAAGTAAATCAAAATACTCGTCACCTATAAAGTTTTCAGGGCGAATAAAGACCCAGAAAAATTTACAAAAAAAAAACAACCCTTCTGTTTAATTTTTGAGGGTTTTGTTTGTGTACCGCGTGACTAACCTTGAGATAACTGTTTCTCCAGCCACAATAATTGTGGCGATTCTTCTCTATACCAGGTGCTTCTACCTATTATATTATTATGTAATTATCCACCCTTCACAGTTTGGGACTTCAATCATGAAGTTTGTATCAGATCTGTACATCGGTGTCATGTGTCCGTGTAAAAGTAAATTGTTCGTTTCTCCACATATTCCGAAATTTCAATTTTGCCTGATATAGTTCTAGTCAAAATTGCACTACTCTCACCTTTGCATTATTGCTAAATGTAAAGAGTGAATGTTACAAGTTCCATTGTCTAAATACTCTAAATTATGAATCCAACCACTAACAATCAACTAAGGGAGGAATCGATCAAACATTCAGATTCTGTAATAAGAAGGAAAGCCCGAACAAGAAACTGGGCCACATCATGCGAGATTTTCAGCAGAATGGCTACTTTTAGAAGCTGGTGGAACAGACTTGCCTAGAAGACAAGAGGAGCAACGGAAGGGGAAGATGCCGCCACAACCAGTACTAACCTTTCCTCAGGATTGTCGGTGAGGATAAGAAGAAATAGACTGAGAGTGCGGCAAGTCCTATATCGAAACCAAGATGTTGATGAAAGTTTGCATTGGCGAGAACAAGAAAAATATTCAGCAAGGAGAAGAAACCAGCAAATTGGGAATAACAGAACATGCTGGAACTCACCAAAACAACAAAAACCAAGTGAATCTGAATAATCCATAGGAATACACACACTGGTTTGAGAGAAAGTTCAAAGGTGTTGCATAAATGTTGAACGAAGACACATTCAGCCAGGGTAGTGTAGAGATACGAACGTAAAAAGACTATGATTCAATTATCAATTATTTTTTTTTACATATTTCAGATATTTCAATCGTAATCATTGAAAATATAATATTTTCTGCAATGAACGTTTTCCTACATTCACGATGAAACTAATCTTTATATCAGATAATTTAAAAATGATCATTATTATACAACTGAAATAAAATATATTATACATCATCGAATTCAACTTTCAGGTCTGTATAAAATTATAATAAGTGAAAACCCGCTTACTACAATACCTGATGAGGCGCTCATGGGTTTAGAGAGATCTCTCTGGGAATTGGAAATAAGTCATTGTGATCTCACAGCAGTTCCTAACAGGGCAATAAGATATTTACAGAAGTTGAGACTTCTAGATTTGACAGGTAAGGCAATATCAAACCTACCTATAGTCCGTTCATAATTTGTCGATAGCACAAAATGAGGGCCCAAGTCATAAAACGGTCGTAAAACTCGTAAAATCATAGGCGGAGGTTCCTGAGGTGTTTATTCATTAAATATAAAGCTTCAGTTTATATTCGAAACTTGCCTTGAAAGGGTGAAGTTGTTACGAACGAAAATAATTTTTGGTTTAGTACATTTTTTAATCGCATTTAATTTACGGCTCGTTGGTGTTTCGGCGTCTACGGCAGTAATTAACGTCTCTAATATTTATTTTGCGAATTTTGTGCAGTGCGTGAGTAA